GCGGCACGGGCGTCAAGTTGGCCGGCCTGCACTGCCGGCCGCCTCGCCGGAAACGAGTTACGAAAACAACGCGCGGCCGCAGAGCCACTAATCGGCCACCAGAATAAATTCCCGACCGCCGCTGGGCCGTCGCGGTCCACCTCGGGCCGAGGTGCGGCGGCGTGCTGCCGGCGTGGCGCGCAAGGGCGGCCTTCGCGTCGCCTCGCCTGCTTCGCGTACTCGTTGGAGGCGTGCCAGGCACCGCGCGAGGCCCTGCGCGGCCCTGCTGCGTCGCTCCAGCAGCGGAATACTTCCCCGGTTCATCACTGTTTTTCTGCCATTTTGCCGCCTTTGGCGCGCCGTCTTTGCGACTAGGGACTCGACGCAGTGGGGCCAGCCGACGGCGAGGCGCAGCGTCTTGTTGTGATACAAGCCCCGATCGGTATTTGTGCCCCAAGCCCCCCCCCCCTCTCGGGCCGTGAGGGTGGCGCGGCGACGGGGTACCGCTGCTCAAACCGGTCGCGCGCACCAAGCCAGCCAAGCCCGAGCCGGACTGCACCTTGGGCCGTGCGTTCTGAAATCGAGCCCGCCCGTCCGCCTGCGTGGCTGCCAGTCTGCCTGCCTGTCTGCCCTGCAAAAGCTGCCTGGTGGTGTGCACCGACTGGCCAAGACTGTTGACCCCCGCCGCGCCTCCTCCGCCAGCAGTTTTCAGTCCACGTTCAAAATGAAAACTCTCTGCATCAGCACGGCGCCGCACTTCACGGCGAGGCAGCAGGCTGAGCACTGACGACGTCTCTCTCGCACTCCCAGAGCGCACCGTACGGGTGCGAGAGAGACAGCCACGAAAGCAGTGCTCGGAGTCAGTCTGCAGGGCGGGGCGGGGCGTAGCGACACGGCGGCCCAAGGACCGGAATCAGGTCGAGGTGGGTGCGGCAGGCCAGGACACGACTCGCTCTGTCTCCCTCGCACCCACATGGGACGCTCCACGAGTGAGAGAGAGACAGAGCGACGACATTGGTGCGCGGAATCAGACGGCAGGACCAGCACGCGCGGCGACTTGGCGGCGGGACGCCTGCGAGGTAGACTGCCCCGGCGAACAGGAGTGCGCGGCATTGCCCGCGTTGCCTACCCGCCGGGCGCTCCCCGCTCCTCTTGCAGCAGCGGCGTGCACTGCAAGTGCAGCGAGGGCCCAGCCAGGGCGGCCCGGGGCGGCTCTGCGGCCACCAGCCGCACCGCATCGCACCGACGATGGCCGCGCCAAAGCCGCTGTCAGGGTCCGGCCGTCCTGGCCGTCCTGTGTCCCGGCCGGGCCGACATGCGCAATCCTTGGACCGCCGCCAGCAGCGTCCGCCGCGTCGCGCAGCGTGCAGCGGCGGGGCGGGGCAGGGCGGGGCGGCCGCGACATCCAAAGTGTGCACCGGCACGCTCGCGTGTCCAGCGTGCACAAACCACGTGACGCTCCGCGGTTCAAGCGGCACCGCCACGAAGACTGGGCCGCGCCCTTCGCCGCACTCACTCCGAGCCTGACCACCCCGCCGTGGACGACGCCGCCACGACGGAAGGAAGCGCGTTTAAATAAACCCCAACAGCACGGGTCCTGGCCGGCGGCCAGTCGAAGAGTGGTGCCGTCGCTCTGTCTCTCTCGCGCCGCCACGACGCGCCCCGTGAGTGCGGCAGAGACGGAGCGGTGTGCAGGCAGAGCCAGGCGGCCGGGCAAATGTCGCGCCGACAGGTGGCGAAGCAGGGCTTGGAAGAGGACGGGTGTACAACGCGCGGGCACGCGGATCGATGGAAACCTCTCACGCACCCGCCGTTCGCGGCGTTCGCCGAGAGGGCGTGTGCGGCGAGCGGGGAAAAGACACGCGTCCTGCAAGGCGTGCAAGGCGAGGGGCGGCTTGTGGGGCTTCAGCAACAGGCCCCACTTGCAAGGCCCGACCGGTAACGAGATTTGTGGAGACGGAGGAGCATCGCCGCCAGGCCGCCAGCGAGAGGGATCCATAATATCGTAAAGAGCGGCGCCGTGGCGCACCGCGCTGCCGCCTTGCCTATGCCTGCCCTGCCGTGCCCTGCCGCCCTGCCAAGGTCGTCCGCGCCGTCCGCGCGCACACCCAGTACACCCCAGAGACCCTCGCAGCGACCCCCCGCCGCTATGGAGGGCAGACCGGGGCAGACCGATTCCGTCGCTCCGTCTCCCTCGCACCTATGCGGGACGCCCCAAGCGTGCGAGAGAGACGGAGCGACGTAAAAGCCTCTCGGATACTAATCAGTCTGCGGGGCGGGAGTGCCCATGCCGGCAGGAAGCGTTTCTTGGGCAAAACGCCGAGGACGACAAGCCCCTCACAACCTCGCTACGCCGGTCACGAGTGTCAAACGCGGAAGGGGAGAAACAAAGGTCCAGGAGCGACGCAAAGGCCCACCCCTGCACGTCATCTCAACGCCACGCCACGCGCAGCGGCGCAGCCCGGCGGCCGGCGCCATGCCCATGACGGCACGACGGAGCCCCGCGGCGCCCCGACTCGGAACCTTTATCAAGCAAGGCTGCTGACAAATCTCCAATGTTATCTTGCGCCCGCCACCGCGCAGCCCCGTGTGCGTATGTGTGTGTGCGTGTGTGTGTGCTCGCGGAAAAAGCCTCGTCCTTTCGGGGGCGATAAAAAGCTTGGGCCCCTCGGCGCGCTGCTCGTCGCGGAGCACGAAGGGAGAAGGGAGGGGGGAGGGGGAGTCCCAAGGCCGCTGGCGACGAATGGCGACCATCCAGTTCGATGTCGGGCGACCGGCCAGACTAAATAAACGAAGCCCTTCCCGACCAAACAAGCCCCGGAGCACCCGGAGCCAAGCACCCCGTTCCGGCTCCGGGGGCCCCGATTCCGGGGCGGGGGAAAGGGGGGGGGCGTCGCGGATCGCGGGCCCCGCGAGGCAAGCCGCGAGCCGGGCGAGCAGCACGCTCGGACGGACCCCGAGGCCCTCACGGCCCTCACCACCAGCACGGCCAGCACGCAGTTGGGCAGCGCGACGGCAACGCCGCATTCCGAGCGACTGGCGTGCACTGGCGTGGACTGGCGACGGGGGAAAGGGCGGCCGCGACGGCAACAGCGCCGTCCAATTGTCGGATCGGATCGCCCTGCCGTGGCCAGGCATTAGATATGTGGGCCAAACTCCCGCGCACCGCGCAGTCGCGGACGGGCCGTCCGTCGGGCCCAGGCAGCCAGGCAGGGCCCAGGCCCACGGCCCACGTCGCGGAGCGCGGAGCAGGCCCACAAGGCGCGGCGGCTGCTGCGGCAAGAGCGCCAGCCCGCCAAGCCTGGCTAGCGCCTTGCCGCCGCCACAGCCACAGCGCGAGCCGCGAGCGCAGCGCCGCGAGCTGAGCGCCAACGCCGGGCCCGACCCGAGTGGCCCAGAGCAGCGCCCGAACCGCGTTCGGCTACGTTCGCCTGGCTTGGCCTGTGCCACGCTTTTGTGAGCGCAGGCGCTCCGGCTCGGGCGAGCCTCTCGGCCTGCTTGGCTTTGCTTCGGCTCGGCGCCGAGGTCCGCGCCCCGCGCCCGCCCCGCGCCCGTTCGGTGTGCAGCGGCGCGGTGCTGCTTGCTCCGCTCCGCGGCCGCCGTCGCGAGCCTCCCCCAAGAAGAGGAGCGCGAGCGCCGCTTCGCCGCTTCGCGCTTTGCGCCTCTGTGCCCTCGCGGCTCGAAACGCGGTCCTCGCGAGCGTGGCGGTGGCGGCGGGGCACAAGCATGGCACGGAGCAGCTCCTTCATCTTCATGCCCTTTCCTCTCCCTCCCCGAGCTGCTCGCGCTGCGCCTCCTTGCCAACATTCTATCGAGGAGTGTAACCGGCTGAAGCTCAACTTGGCCACTTGGCACGTCGCGCGGTGCGCGGTACACTCTGCTCTTTGCCAAGGTGCCTGGTGCACGGTGCACCTTGTCCCGAGTCGGTCCCGGCGGCATGGCCGCGAGGACGCCGACGAGAGACAAGCGGCAAAAGTCCGGCAAATGGCTTGCAGTTGATGCCCGGTGGTTCATCAACGATGCAAAAAGCAGAATTCATTATACCAGCAAAAAAAAAGGAAGAAAATCTTTTTTACAAATCGACTCTACATCGCCATCTATGAAACTCTAACAAGGCTTGAATTGTACATTGTACACTCACACAAAACCGAAATGGTCTTGACACAAGTATAATTAAAACACGCGATGTGAAAATGAAACACAAAAGGGGCCGAATTTGTCCAATAAATTCGGCAGAACACAGATCACTTGCAAATACAAAATTAACAAAAAAATTCTGACTAAAATATGTTTATACAAATTTATCTTTAAAATTAAATTTTTAACTCCAATATTCTGTATTACGGTCACAGAAAGACCTTAACTTAATGGTCTAAATTAAAGATGGTGAGTCGAAGGTCATAGACAGGTTCTTCAATTGTGTCGAAGCATGTTTAAGATAAAAAATTTAAGTTGGAACCAAACGTATGGGAACTTAAAAAAAAACTCAAGTTCAAAGCAAACACAAAAAAAAAGGCAGAATGCAAGACTAAAAAGACACCATTGAATGGTTTCTAGCTTTTGACACAGCCTGGAAGTCACAGAGTCAGTTTGCTGGAAATATCGATCAAAGGCTGTCTCTAGACTTCAACAAGATTTACGTGAGGAACAAAGAGAGATCGACAAAACATGTTTAAATAAAACACTGTGCAAACAGGTACCTTGGCCTGTAGAAGAGGTTAGGTCGGCACAACACCAATAACCCAAATTCTGCACAACAGGTGTACGTAAATAATACATTGTGGTGAATACTATTCACACACAGTACCAAATTTCAAATTTATAACTATGACCATAAACATAATTTAAGTAAGCTTCACAGTCAAACTCGTCGAAAACACTGCAGGACTGGCCACTTATTGCATTACTGGGAGTGAAAATTTGTGACAATGACGGGAGTTTATTTGCTTCGGAAATAAATAGTACAAGCAACGAAGCTCGAAACAAGGAGCTACTCATAGAAAACGGCGACAGCAACTTACCAATCCTGGAAAGTTTAGGAAGAACGTAAACAAAACTTCACAACCACATCAAGTACGAGAGACGTTCGACGCCAACGCCATTTCACGATCGTGATCGTGATTCCGCATTAGCCGACGGCGGCTGTGATTGGCTACCTTCGTCGTCGGCTGCGACCAACCAGACCGGCAGGAACAGCGCGGCGCAAAAGTCGATCGTCGTCTGTTGCCGCGGTGGGGGCGGGGCGAACAGGCGGGTAGCTGGCAGCTTTCGAAGTGTCACCTTTGGGTACAGGCAGGGTAGGGTAGGGTGAGGAAAAAAGAGCTTTCTCACCCTCGGCGGCCAATATTTCGATCATTTCTATTGTTTGTTTCCATCCAGGTTCTTGAGTACAGATTCTATGGTGGGGTTTGTGGGCTTGAGTGCCCCCCATTTCATACTGGGTGCTTCCATCTAGGTTCTTTTAAGAGGTGTCACATGTGAGTCTTCTACTGGTTGTCATTTCTTCAGCCACTGGTATTGGAATTTAACGTTCACCAGATGTTTACCCCACACGGTAAGTGAAAAAAATCTTTTTTTTTCAACCCACTTTGAAATTTAGTTTACATGAGTTTGTCGATTTTCTTCACAGAATTGCTTAGGAAAATGTAGTAGTAAAATTATAAACACAAAGACAGGTTATTTGGATATTTGACTTTTATTGTTCAAAAGATATTTTGAAATTAAAACAGAAGTGCACAGCAGCTGAAACAATGAACCGGGTACAAACAATCTCAGAAATGGGATATTAACACCTCAAAAGAGAATCAAATTTTTGCACAAAACCAAAACAGTGCCTAGGCGATTCAAGAAAAATGTGCCTTGTCTTAAGATAATACAAGTTCCTAGTTAACACCGTTTTACCTAATGGAAGAGGTAAATCACACTGAGGAGGAGAGAATACTTGTGGCTTATCGAGGATTCAATACCAGCACATTCTGACAACCAAAATGTTCTCTCATTGAATGAGACACCATTCATGTAATCATTTTAATTCAACCACTCTCACTCATAGTTTCTCATGTACAAGACATTCACACGAATTCAATTGCATGCTTTACTAAATGTAGAAGTAGGTTTCTTAGTATAAAGATGATGTATTGGACACAGCCCAAAATTGATGAAGATTGACAATGTTGTAACAGTAGGGACCACAACAAACAAAACATAAGGACACACAACAAAGATTACACTAATTTAAGATTCTGAATACAGAAGGAAAGGACAAATTTAAAAATATACATAACAGGCTATGGTCAAAATTAATAAATTGCTGTTTATGCACTGCCCAGTGAATGATTGTGAATCAACTATTGAAATGATTGTATGTCATCTTCACATACTGATAAATGGATGATAAGAATAAGAATAAAAAAAATATCACTATGTGCTAAGTTAAAGATCAAGTATCAACCACACAAAGAGTAAAACTAAAGGAAAAGAAAATGAGGACAATCTGGTGCGGACCTGCCGCAATTATCAAACATAGATGGGCTTATTTCCTAGTGTGATGAAATATCTGCAATGTGTTTTACCTCTGTTTAAATGGCTTCAATTGTACATGTTCAGCTACAAAGTATATGTACTCCTCAGTTAAATTATTTCTGGATAATTTCTAAAGATTAAGTAACTAATCACTCTTGGCATCCCCCAATTCTCCATCTTCTTTTTCACTAGCCTCTCCAGGTCCTTCTGCAATCCGTTCTGACACAGTGGGTGCTTCGTCTTTGTTCAGATTGGCAGTTCCATTTGCAGTCTCTTCTGGTTTCTTTGGAGACCCAGCTTCTGCTTCTTCAGGAATAGGTTTAGGACGTTCTAGGTACAGGAAAGAAAATGCCATTAGTGTTTTTCTTTGAGAACTACAACAATAAGAAGCTCTTATTTCTGAATTAGTTTACCTTCTTCCCGTTTGTCTTTTCTGTCATGAGAGCGGTCTCTTTTGTACTTGTCACTGCGAGATGACGACCGATGGTTGTCATTGTCCCTGTCACGAGAGCGACGCCTTGAGGAATGAGAGGGCCTGCTTCGGCTCCTGCTTCGAGACCGATGAGACCTATAACAGCAAAACTCAGCAGGTTACAGATTTTTGATGTTTATTTGGAAAGAAGAAAAAAAAAAAAAACAGAGGATAGAGTAAGAATGCCACTTCACCTGGACTTGCTCCGCGAGCGGGTTTTCCTCCTCTTGCTTCTGCCCCCTTCACTCCGGCTGTCGCTGGGACTGCGCTTGGAGCGGTCCCGATCCCTGTCCCTGTCCCTCTCGCGGTCCCGGTCCCGGTCCCGGTCCCTCTCTCGGTCCCGGTCACGATCCCGTCTAGTGTCGCGATCCCTGTCCCTGTCACGCTCCCTGTGACGGTCACGGTCACGGTCGCGATCCCGGTCGCGGTCCCTGTCCCTTTCCCGATCCCTGTCACGGTCCCTGTCCCTGTCTCGGTCCCTGTCACGGTCCCTGTCCCTATCCCTGACTCTGTCATCACGCTCCCTGTCCCTGTCTCGGTCCCTCCCATCGTTACGCCGCTGGTTCTTCCGCTCCTCTACTGTAACCTGGAATCAAGACGATTACGATTATAGTTGCAGAATTAGTTGTCTTGTCATGATGAGCATTTGCAGAAGAAATTTGATAAATTACCTGAAGTTGTGCTAATTTCTCTCGAATTTTTATGAATCCTAGATGGAGTTTTCCGCCAAAGTGGTCGGCTAATCGCCTGTCATTGTCATGAATACCAAGGTATGCTGAGCAAACTTCACACACACGAAGTTTCTGTTGTTGGTAGCTTGAAGCAGGCATTGAGTTGCGATATTCAAGTTCAGCTGCTGCTTTCTTTTTACGCAAGTCTTCAATCTTAACAAATTCAGATTGAAACATTAGAATTGCACAGTTTTGACAGTTAAGTCATAAACAGAAGGTTAGAATCAATATTTTTAAATTACCTCTTCCATCAGCTTGATACTTTCATCAACTAAACCTTCTGCTCCAAGCATTTCTGCTTTTGCCAATTTTTTACCAATCTGTTCTGCAAGTTCATGGACTTTATTGGCTTTTGCTGCAACTTCTGCTGATAATACTTCCTGGGTTTCAAGAAGTCGCTGCTTAGCTAGCTCTGTTCGATGGTCACAGTCAGCAATAAAGGATTGAAGATGTTCCATAGCCTGAAGATTAGGATACAGATTAATAAAAAATACAAAAAAAATGGACATTGTTTATAACTAAAACAAGTAAGGAAAAGCTCCAACTTACATCGATATCATAGTAATAATCTCTTTTCTTGCTAGCCTGTTCATAATCTGCACGGAGTGCAAGATCGTGAATTTTGGGACATTCTCCGAGGTCCATACGCTGCAACACACAAAAAAATAAGAACAAGTACACAGCTAAACATCAAACAACAGAGCATGAAGATCTCATACACAATCAGACTGAGCAGCCAAAAACATCAAGCAACTATTTACTGTGTGCATATTTCTTTTTTGCTAGTTGTTAGTACATCCCTTGCTTAGTCTGCCTCTACATTCACCTTCAAAATTCACAACTCAATAATATAATAAAAATAAAGGCTATGTGCTGTAAGAATTTATATGATGGGATCCATGACACAGACAGACAGAGCAAGACAAGAATACATGACTTAAAGGATAAAGTAGATAAAAATAAGGAGACGAAATACTTTAGGTATTTTGAAGTGGCTCGATATTTCTTTAAGATCTGTTCAGCCAAATCCACATCAGCCACAAAGATACAAAACATAGTTAATTCTGGACAGGTAGGAGCTTCCTTTCCTATACTAGATAGGAGAGAAAAGTATTATTTAGGTTCCTAGCTTTGCTTGCAAGGAAAGGGACAAAGATATGCTACCTTCGCCATAATTAGTAGAATTCTGAACTTATTCTTCAAAAGTTCTCATTATTTTTGGGACACATTGTTTGGCAAAGGAAAAAGCCTTGCAGCAACTCTGATGATAATTGTCAACACTGAGATCCTCAGCAAACACCTCTACAAATTCTTCCAATTTAAAACCTGCAGTAAAAAAACACGAACAAAGGGGTATCCTAACAAGGAAAAAAAAATGGACAAGGGCGAAAAGAATACAGCTGTTCAAACCAGGATAGGCAGTTGATCGACCTGCCTTGAAACCTGGAGAAAAAGACAAACTTGGTTTGGAAGCATGAGAAGTTTGAATGATCCTGAGGAGTCAAGCTTCAAGCACCATACATCAAAAAAAGATCACAAGCTTTACAACATAGTATGATGACAATTGAAAGTGTGTAATGATATATATCTTTAATTTAATGATGGCACAATTTTTCACTGGGACTGAAAGGACCCTTTCCACATGTTCCATAGACATTCCTCAACTTATTACTTTGGGCTTTACATTTCCTGAAATGCTCTAATTAATTCTATTGCAGACAGATAATTTAAAATTACCTGATAAAGGCAAACTACTTGGGAATGGATCACATTTCCTGACTTAGCTAATTCCTACAAACAAATCCTACTATCTTTGATATAAGAAACATGGCTCCTCAGAAATAATAAGAAAGGTTTTGACATGGTCAGATATAGCAACTTACAGACGCATCTTCGAGAGCGGCACTTGGAATGCGGACGACGGTGTCATAACCCCCTCTAATTACGTTGTCTCAGTCAAAATGCTTTCATACTTAAAGCCCTGAGGGTAAAAGAAACCAGTTTTGTATGTGAGTTGAGAGTCTTTTACCAACTCAATTTACATGGAGCATTTCCGGTTCTCCTGATTCGGTTTGCCTTGAAATCGATTTTTCTTTAAAAATTAATAGTTTAAACTGCCAAGAGTTTGGAATAAAAGTTTACTGGAATTGATGTCAAGGCTGAACCACTACAGGAATTCATTATATGGGAAAATTTAGAAGTATTCTAAGTACATCACCAAGTCTTTGAAGGTCCCCAATCATTCCGAGTTTGCAGAGAAATGTTATGGAGAAAAAAAATATATACTCACAGTGGATTGGTTCCCTTTATCCCAGCATCTTAACAGAGCTACAAAAGACCATGCACTTTATCTTACTTACAAATAGAAGACCATAAGAGCACGGTGCCATCTTGGAAATGGCTTGCTTATCTTACAAAGAATGTTGAAAAATGTTCCTAAGGTGCTCTGCCATAATGTTAGATAAAAATGAAAGAGTCACACAAGATTGAGGGGGAAAACCCAGTTTGATACTGACTCTATTACTCGTGGTGACAGGGCATGATACCTGAGGAATCTACAACCACATGATCAACCTGTGCACTTACAGGAACACAATATCAAACTCAAAAGGTCATGAAGCAACGAATTGAAAAATTGGTCACATCATCTGTAAGAACTAATGAACAGCAGCTGCAGAAAAGATATTCCCAAACTAGCACCACCATGATTTCCTAATAACTGAATACTGATTGGAACTAATGGAATTTTTATCATTAGTGTTGAAATGTGGCCTATTCTACCACTTTATTTCATCATGCAGCATGAGGAGAATGAATAATGGAAGAATAGCTGGAGATATAGAATGAATGATTGGCCATCGGTTGCAAAGCTACCTCTAAAGTGCACATGGCAAAAAAGAAAGTTAAAAAAAAAAAAAAAACAATGATGACACATGATCTGTACCTTCTTAGAAAAGTACTTAATTACACACTTATTGAGGTGAAACCGGCTGGCAGCTGGAAAACAAAACATGCCCTTTCCTATTTACTTACCAGGCACACCACACAAAGTTTTAGTATTTCCCCACAACCCATCAGTCTGTTCAAACAAGAAGCTCGCGTATTCAACATATCTACAGACAGGACTAAATAATCTAGTCTGGAAAATATTTGCACAACAAAATGCACGGGATATGGTTTTAATGCACTTCAAATCATAATGCACCATGATCACAGACTAGTGTCCTTAGCTGGTAAATATTAATCAGATGATACGTACCATGTTAGCCAGATGTTTGGTCTTAACGACATGATACGTACCAAAACATTCAGGAGCATGGTATTGAGCAAGGCTCATAATTGGAAATCTATACTGAAATCAGTTTAGCAATGATGCTGAGTACTTACAGGCCTCACTAAGCACAACAGTATCCTAATATCACTGTTTCTGAAAACAGTGAAGAGATTCTGGTAAATATATATGCCAAAATGAAATGTGATTTGAATAATATGCAGCAAATAATTTGTAATAAATCCTTTAAGGTTTAAGCAGTAATTTCTAAATAGAAAAGATTCATAGGATTTGTGCCAATGAGGAACAATTCATATAGAAAACATGTTATGAGGGATGCAAGTAGAACACTCAAATGCTGCATACTAACAACACACATCGACAAGATTCCTTCAAACCAGAAGTAAACCATCTTAAATTTTTTTTTCCATCATAACCATGCGTGGACTTTTAGAAAAGATGCATGAACTTGAATAAAATATGCACTGACTTAAGAGAAAGTAATAAATTCATGGAAAGGACATCAAAGCCAATCAAACAGAATGCAGGAAATCTCTAAAGAAATTTTGAATCATTTGAATTTTTCGTAGGTAGCACTCAGGTAAGTGTTGTTCTAATTTCAAGAGTCAAAGGGTTTCAAATTCAAGTGAAAGAAAGGACAAAAGAATAAAACACTTGAAATCGTCAATGACCCTGCCATACTGACATGTACTGTAGTGCCCTTGATTTGTGCTTAACTAATCTCAGCACAGCGAAAACATGGCAGTTGAGATAAAGAAATTAATTTTCAAAGTACATGATGTATCATCAAGGCATGATTGCGGTGGGAGAAACTTTGAAATGCTCAAATGCCATGTTTTCCCAAACACTTCAATTTTGAGGTGGAGAGCATAAATAAATTGGGCTTACCGTAGAAGATAAAATTTCATGAGGACAACAGGCCAAAAGGAAGCTCTTGCAAACTTTGGAATCTGTGAATTTAACCTGGTATTTACTGTTTTCGCCTGAAAAAAAGAATCAAATGTGTTTGTATTAGATACATTAGACGGTTACATAAGAGGGCGCAACTGATAGTGGAATCGAAAACCGGAGGGAGTGCGTTTACAGTTTAAAATAACGTCACAAATACGATGTGATGATTGGACCAGAAACCATATCAGTAGTGGGAAAATGCGACACTGAGCCAAGGACCCGCTTGCGAGTGAAAGTGTGTTCGAGCGTGTGCATGCGACTGATCAGCAGGAAAATTAGGGGAAAAACGTAAGCAAACCAGACCAGACGAAAGAATCTCAAGAAACGGGAAAATTGAGGCTAGAAAGCGGTAGGGTCGGCGGATAACCTCATAACGATAGCCGACAAGCAGAGACAGTTTTTCCACTGGAAATGATACTTCGAATAAAGAAGATACTCACCATTTCTCCCAGTGCCCATTAGTTGATCTAACATCGCCTTCATTTGATCGTGGGCCGACATCTTGACTGTAGTGTTGTACTAAGTTACTGGAAAAGTTGTCTTGTATCTCAACCATAACACGTAAAGAAGATGGCGGACTGCGGACCGGAACGGAAAAAGATGCACAAGAAGAAGAAGTGAACATGGAAAGAAGAAGAAGGGGGAAACCAGTCTACCACCACCACCCTATGTCACACAAAACCATAGACATAGGTGACTCGACTAGTCGGACTTTGAGTTCATTCGAAAGATGTTTCTTGTGATTGGTTTCTTCTTTCAGCCTAATGAAATGTTCAGTATGGCCGACATTATTAATTTATTTTTTTTCACGAGCAGGAAATCGGTGACACGGGTGGTGACCTTGATTAACTTGCACGTGTAGTCGTTCACGTGACCTTTTGCGCAACAACAAACTCTATTTACAAATGGCCCCTCTGCTATTCACGACCAAACCTTCAAAACACGCTCTGCTTAGACATCGATAATGGCTTTTGTGGAAGATCTCGTCGTTGACAACGTCGTCTTGCAAAAGAATTTGAACGGTCTCCAAAGCGAGGACAAGAGAAAACGAAAATCGGCTCTTAATGACCTCCGGAAACAATTGTTTTCACAACTTCCAAAATGTTCCTCTCTGCTGCAAGACAATCAGGATGTGTCCAAGGCAATTATTAGGTGCATTAGCGATGAGTCAGAAGCTTGCAGAGAAGCTGCTGTCAATTTTCTCAAGGATCTTTTAGTTGAGGATGCGATTGCGGATGTGAATCTTGTGCTGCTTATGCCGGTCCTGTCACGTAGGTTAGGTTCAGAAGAGGTGGTGGAACCCTCAGAAGAAGTGCGACATGCCTTAGTTGAGTTGCTTCATGTTGTTGTGAAGAAATCCTCAAAAGATCTGTTTCCCTTTTTTAATGACATTGTTAGTATCTTGAAAAAAACTGTCCTCGATCCTTACCCGAAAATTAAAAAGGAAAGCTGTGAATGTGCTTCTTCGTTAGCATTTGCAATCCCTGAGAGTTTTCACATGCAGTCTGAGTCACTTATCAAGCCACTTGTGCAGATTTTGACACATCAGCAATACAGAGTGAGAGTTTCTGCCATCCTAGCCTTGGGTTAGTTGTGGAGCCCCCACACAATGCAATTACAGCAAATTATATTACTTTCACTGTACACGCAGTAGTACTAAAAACGCTCTAAACCTTAATAGGTGTTGTTGTTCGCTATGGAAACAACAAATCAATTAAAGAAGTTGCTGGCCCTCTTGCAGAGAGGATGTTTGATCAAACTCCTCAAGTTCGTGACGCAATAACGCAAGTGATAGGAGACTGGTTGGCTCATTTGCCAGACCGATATTCATACTTTCATATTATGATACCTCTTATGCTGACAAGGTATGCATGTGTCAATTGTATTTCATTCTTTCTCACAGTCGCATCTTGGAAATGATTAATTATTATTTCTCAATCTTCCTGTCTCTCTACCAGTTTGAATGACCCATCATCAGACATTCAGGAAAAGGCTTGGATTTTGTGGAATGCTGCTGGTCACCAATGGATGAAAGAAAATGAGGATGACATCAAGGATAAGTTAGACTTCTTGGATAATGTTCCATTGCATTACCCTCACAATAGTAAGATGCCTCTTTATTTTTTGTGGTGCCTGCTGCTTGTTGTTTGTCTACATATTTTATTCCCTCTTTCCAATTTCTATCATTTTCAGTAAGGAGGCCAAATATGGGTTGCCGTACTCTGGTCAAAAGAAATTTGCATAAAATTGCTCCAGCATTAGTACGTGAGTTACAAGATTGGCTTGTTGATGTACGGATAAAAGCATCACAGCTTCTCTGTGTTCTCATATTGAATGCAGAGTCTGATTTACACCAGTATCTTGAACAGCTGCTCCTGGGAATGTACAGAGCCTGCCACGATGAAGACATAAGAGTTGTCAACAATGTTAGATATTGTCATCTTTTGATTTTGTGTTTCTTCCATACCAAATTATGATCAAGGAATATTCTGTTAAAAGTGACCATAATTGCAGATTGAACAAGCATCTCATCTTATTGGATATTTCATTCCTCCATGTAACTACTGGTCACTCATACATCCTGTCATGGAAGATTCTTGCCATCAGGGGCACCTTCGAGTTCTCGCTTTTGTCATGAGAGGAGGGGAACCAAGCAGTCTTGAAAGCTTTCTGACAACCATAGCAGACTTTCTTGAGCAGCCAACCATCTGTCAATCCAGAGAGGTAAACTCTTAACTCATCAAAAATTATTACAGTTTTGGTAGCCTAAAATATGAACTAAATTATTCTCTCTTCAGTCTCTCTATCAGTCCCAGTTGGTCAAATGCTGTGAGTCTATGATGATTGTTTGTGGGAAACATTGTATCAAGGTCTCCCAACAAATGTTCAATATTCTTGTTACTGTCTTGGCCCTTGCTGCATCAGATGAAGTTCATAAAGCTTCTCAAGGTAAATTGTGGTCAGTATGATATTGGTGTATTGCTAAGAACAATAGAAGAATAAAACAATTTTCTTTTAGATGAACTTCAAAAGTTAAAAAATTTTCAAGACTTGGCAGAAGATTATGAACTATACAAAAAATTTATGAGGCCTTTATTACTGAATGTTAGTTCAGCCCCAGTGGGGTGGACAGTTCATTGCCCAGAGAGATTGATTTTTCAAACATTAATTTTGAACTCTGGTAAGCATTGTACAATTTGCCAATTGGTTCTTGGGGTTTTATTTGCTGAGTTTGTCCTTCATGACATAATATTTGCTCAGGTCCAGCCTTAAGTGATTGTCTTGATGTTATGGTACCAACATTATCAGCAAGTTTATGTCCTGAAAATGAAGATGCTGAAATGAAATTGAAGTTGCTGACGAATCTTGCAGTGATTCTACAAAACACAGATAAAACTCACTGTATCTCCACAGAAGTAATGGATCCTTTTCTTTTTTCAATTATAAAAGGTATGAATAGGTTGGCTTATGTAAGTGTTGAACACAGAGAGTTGTTTTAGTGTCTAACATATGAGGGCTTCCTGCTACAGGTGTGATAGCTCCAAACTTGGTTTGGAAAGCAGGACGGACCGCAGAAGCGTTACGAACCATCACTGTGTCTTGCCTCTTATCCATCCTGCAGACCCATGGGACAAGTCATTGTGAAACAATGGTGTATCTGCTGGATTCACTTGTTCCTATACTTCTAGCACTTGTTGAAGATGCCTCCAAGAAAACAAGACTCTACACCTGCTATTCGTTATGCCAAATTATAAGTGCTGCTCAGAAAATGAGTAAATTAAATGCTGAACATGTTCAAAAGATTTATTACGGTATGTCAATTTTGAATTTATGCTGATTTAATTCCATCAACTCTTACAATTCTTTGTCAACCTATTTTCAGTGGTCCTGAAACGTTTGGACGACGTTGATGACAGTGTGAGAAAAGTTTCAGTTGAAATTCTTCGAAAGTTATTCAGTTGTCTTCCCAGTGACTACAGCATAGAATGTTCATCAGCGCATATTGAAGCTCTATATTCCACTCTTCTTATTCATTTGGATGATCCCAGTGTTGAATTTGGATCCTTGTTACTAGGTAACAGTTATGTTTTTTAAAGCAGTATGGTGATAAGGGGTGTTTTATACCGTAAATAATTAATTGATTGTTGCAGGTGTCCTGAAGGAGCTATCCGGGTTAAAACCTGAATATTTGTTGGAAAGATTGAAAGCAACAGCTTCTAACTACAGAAATCAAGATGCTTGCCAAGAATTACTCGCTCACATCTCAGCCTCAGCCAAATCAGTTGCTCCTTGATTGTAATTTTTGGTTCAAAGATTAACGTGTTACAACTTATTTACTTGTGATAATTTTGCTTTTTTTTAAATATCTTTTTTAAAAAAATGAACTAATGACATGTTTGTCTGTAATTTTGTTGTCTTCTGATAGAAATGGATATAAAGCAGCACATAATGGAAGAATTTTTGTCTTTATTTATGAAACTGTACAAAGAGTGCTTCCTTGCAGGATTTTTCTTCTTACAGCACGACTGTACACAAATTCCATATTCTTTGGAATATAGTCCCAGGGCAACACCAACACACACCACCAGCTACACATTTGTAATTTTAGAAATTACATGTAGTCTGCTTGAACATTCCAGCCCAAGCTTTGAAATAAGATTGTTCCATTTTAGAAGCAGAAAGACAACCTTAGGTGCCAGCTTTGAATCAAGGAAAGGTTCAAAATAAACTTGGGAATTGTTAATTAATATTTGGATGATCTGCATTTTGGCCTTTCTCTGGGTTAATGTCCAAGATAACCTCATAGTTTCCTGAGGGGAAGAAAAAGATTTACTAATGCTGACACCTGGTGTCAGCTCTGCATTACTTAGAGTTTTCAGGCAGCCATTGTCAAAAGTAGGATATATGGCTCTCCAGAGATTTTATCAGACAACTATAGCATATCATAATTATGATTAAATCTTTCCTAATTCCCAAAGTCTCATTTTTTTCATTAACTAACATTATCATTTACATGGGCAAATGACTGGGAAAAATAACACCAGTCATTGATCACAGCTATGACTTTTTTTTTTCCAAAAAAAAAAAAAGAAGAAAAATACATAGTCCTGTTATTTCTACATAACCAGATGAATGTCAGATTCAAACATGATTCAAAAGTACCAATGGGCATTTTTGTTGTTAATCATGCATCCATCTTATAACGAATTCATTTCATTACCTGAGTAAGGGAAAACAGGAATTGGAAAAAGCAGTAAAACTCAAAAGTTAGAGACAAAAACAATACTGTCTCAACTTAAAAAATGTAGTCATACAAATTCAGTTAATTTATACAACTTAAGACCATGAAAATTAAAGCCGAACTCAAGAATTAAAATATGGACACAAGAGCTACCTACACAAACAATTTCCTTGATTAGGATGAAGTAAAAATGCTCTGAAGGAGCACAACCTGGTTTTAGTTTGAGGTGTAAGTATTGGAAAATCCCTAACAACTGTACCTTATAACAGCCATGAAAACATTGGCAGAAAGCAACAGCTGTAACGATACATAAGAAAGTGATGTCATTAAAAGTTACATGAAAATTCACAAACAGTTTGAAAATCCAACTGTTTCACCCATTCCAAATTGGAGGTCGGAGTGTAAGAAAATGAATTTCCAGGATGCTAAAGCACTGAATAAAGCAACAATCAAATAAATATACACAGAACAGAGTGCATGGTTCTGACATTTAGGCCTTCATCCACAATACACTTCCAAGCTTGAATCTCTATTGTAACATCATTTCAGGGTTTGGATTTAGAACTATATACAAAATATAACAAACAAACAAGGGAAAAAGGTACTCCAAAGTACAGCTTATAAAAGTAAAGACCTTGCTATGACCTAGGTAAATTGCACATTTCACAAGATGACAAATGTGATGCATTGATAAATGTGCAATGAGGGCAAGTCCACTTGGCTCCCCCGCCGAGTCCCGATCCACTCACACCATGGTCATCACGCGCTGCGCCCGATGCGCTCGGAGCCTCGGTGGCGGCGATCAACTGTTCCACTGTACCCCACTGTTCCGAATGGCGCCATTCCAAGGCCTTGGCACCGTCATTCGTCCTTACTGCTTCCAGTAACGGACCCATGTGTTCCTGTCAAAAAAAAAAATCATTCAGTTTGCACACAAGTGCGCATTGTTCCTAAAGCCTACCACAAATTCAAATGATTAAGACGAACTTACCTTCAAAGGTAACATGTCCATAGTGGCCATATACAGCAGGACATGAAAATCAGACATTGCCAAAAGGAACTGATCATCAGAAAATTGGCGCATATAAGTGCTTAAAGTAGCAAAATCTTGTAAATGGCCTTGCACCATCCTAAAATTTAGAAAAAAGGAATATAAAGCACAAATTTAACAAAACAACAACATAGAACTTGTTTAGAGGAACTGAAAAAAATGGTATTTGAGACCTTACCTGTTTTCAACAGGGAATTGTGTAACCATTGGATCCACCATAAACTTGTACTGAGGTACTAGCGGCGTGGATGCAGGAACATCAACCAGTAGATACTCAACAGGTAGAGGCCTGGCCAAGCGGGGGACCTCATTGCCATAGTTGTCTTTCTCCTGAAAATAAAACCAAGTAAGCTTAGTAATCTTGAAATGGCAAAGCTAGACCCACCTACTGGTCTCGGCGAGAGCAGCGTAGAGCCCTGTAGGGCGCCCAAGGGGCATGTAGGGCTCTAGTGCAGCACAATCATCACATACATTCTCATCATTTCGAAAGCAGGCGGCTGAAGTACGTCGAATTCGGGGGAAGGGGGAGGAGGGGGGGGAGGCTCGATTGAATCCGCAGCCTGTCGAAGCTCGACGCACGGCCAGGCAGAACCAGGAGCCAGGGTGGCCAGGGGCACCGGGAGAGCCAGGGGGAGGGAATGCCTCCCCAAGGCGGAGGCCTGGCCTGGCCTGGCCTGGCGGAGGGGAGGTGAGGCGCGGCGCGCTGCGTGTCATGGACCGGGGCTCCGATCGGCACCGCGGCCCCGCGGCACACGACGGCAAGGACACACGCAGCGCGAGCAGTGAGAGCAGCGAGAGCACACCGGGATGTTTGGTCCGGGCTGCTTGCCCAGCACCGCGACAGCGCTTCCGCACCGCGCCCGCTGCGCCCACTGCGCCCCCGGCACGTCAACCTCAACCCCCGCCGTCCCGGCCGTCCCGGGCATCATAGGCCAGCCACTTGCAGCGCATGCCGCCCAGCTGCACCGCCTCGCCGCCGCCAACAAGGCCGCCATGGCCCCCGCAGCCCCTGGAGGCCTTCTGCAGGTGTGTGCCAGTGTGTGCACTCCGCGACACGTCGACACGCCGCGCTCAGCTAGTTCCAGCTAGCTCCAGCGACCCGGCCGCCGGCGCCACCCGGGGCAAGGCCGGCGCGGCCGAGCCTACAGGTACCACCGCAATCATGCTATCGTCATCGTAATCGCTATCAAAGCGCCGCGTGCGCCGCGTGAGCCGAGTCAGCGCAGTCAGCGCGCCGTGCGCCAGCCAGAGCCGCAAATCACGAGCCGAGCCCAGGCCAGCCCAGGCATGGCATCCCCGTCACCATCCCTGTCCATTTTCAGCTGGCGGGTAATCAATGCTGGCCGCCCCCACTGCGGGCCTTGCGGCGTGCCGGCCTGGTGCCGGCGTGCCGTGTAGCGATAGCGGGATAGCGGCGTGACGCGGCGAGTCCGTGCCGAGCAAAGCCGCCCCACCGAGGCACCGCGACCCCCCGCAAACAACAAGCCAAGCCAACCCCCGCCGCGAGCCAGCGAGCGCGACCCCCAGCCAGCCGGGCTAGGGCCCCGCCCCGCGCCCGCCGGGCCGCGTTCGGGGCAGCACATCGAGCCGGGTCGGGTGCGATTGTCAAGACGCTGTACCAAACTAGAGCCACCCCACCGTCTTGCCGGTCTTGCCCCCCTCTCTGGAACGGCCGTTCACCCCCCTGTTGCAGCCGCCCCGCCCCGCCTGCCCCGCCCCTGTGCGTCATATCAGCTCGCGTCCGCTCGCAGCCGCGATAACATCGGCAAAGCCGTGCACGTCGCGGCCGTCGCGGCCCGCCAGCGAGGAGCTGCAGCGGCGGTCGCGTCACGGTGTAGGCACGCAGGGCACGCAGGCACGGTGTCGAGGGAAATCCACAAGTGTGCCCTGGCGTGCCGTACCACGCGCAAAACGCGCTGACCGCCCAAAAAAATCCGCGAATGAATGCAAGTTGGTGCATGGCAGGCCCCGGCCACGAGTCCTTGACAGTTGCATCGGCGCCGCGTCGCGCCGCGTTCAGATTGGGGAAATAGGCTATCGCACTCTCCGCCACTGCGCTGGCTTTGCGCGCTTCGCGGCTCGAGGGGCTGCAAAAGTGCTCGCCGGGCCCGCTATCTCGCCAGTAAGTGAAGAGGGTGCGGCACGGCGGCGGAGAGCGCAGTCAGAGCGCAGCTCTCGGCCGCAATTCGTTTCCAGGCAACGCCAGCCCGGCAGCCTGCCCCTGCTGCCCCCACTGGACGGGACGGCCCGTCCGCAACTCTTCCACCTTCCACCCCTACCTCGGCTACTCCGCGGCCGATCAACCCCTTTCCCCGTGCGCGCCGCGCAGTCAGCCAGTCTCGAGCCCGCCAGCCAGCCAGCCCCAGCCCCGGCGGCCCGGACCCCCGCGAGCGCCTGCCGACCCCGCGCACCCCGCGCGCGCGCCCCATCCGCTCCTGCCACGCTGCAGCCGCACGCCGCCGCGATCGCTACTGCTACCACTGCAGCTGCCTGCCTGCCTGCCGCCGCTGCCACCGCCGCTGCCGCCGCGCTGACGCCTAGTGGACAGACGCGTCGTCGCGCCGCCGCGTCGCCCGACGCCCGCCGCGCAGCTCACAACGAGAAACACTCCGCGCGGTACGGCGCAGCTCGCCCGCAAATCCCTTTGTTCGTTCGCCGATCCGAACCGATTTTCGCGACGCCGTGGTCCTGTCCGTTTACTGAGCCGCTCGGCCCGGTGCCGGTCAGCAAGCCCGTTCATGTCACCGAACACAATCCGGAAGGAAGACAGCGATAAATGCGGCATTTGGCGCACTAGCGAGCCCGAGCAGGCCGAGCAGAGCCGGTGTCATCAAAGCAACAAGGTGGTTGTTTGTTGACGATTCGACCATCCTATTTCTTGGGGTCTCAGCAGCTTTAGCGTGCTGTGAGGGTCTCCGCACAAGCGGAGACTTAGTTTGGCAAGTTGCAAAACCGCCGAGGGCTTGGGTGTCGTGGAAGGTTGGGGACTGTTGATATGCACGTGTTAAGTTTAATAACAACGGTAAACAATGCAGCCACGCCAGGGCCGCTGTCCCCAATTTCATAGGCTGTAGCGCTCCTGTTGGAACTAGAAAACGATCAAGTCACTACAGCTATCCTGGAGACTGTGACAGCTCAAACAGGAACAATCTGGAAGCGAACACACTTGAACGACAATAACCTCCAAGTTCGGCATCAGCTACGAAGTCGGCGGCTAGGTGCATTTAAGAGCCTCCTTGCAGACAGGATGGAATTGAAATGACCGTTGTACATTAAGAGATTACTTTTTAGGGCACAGTTGTCATTTTAAATATGAAATACATTACTTTCTCAAGTAGGGTTATGTTACCCATGATAACTGATGTTTGCATCAACTTTTCTCAGATTCTAACCTTCAAAGATAAGAGAAAAAATGCCCTAGCAACACAATTTGTTATATTCAGCTAAAGAGTGAAGCAATTTGTTATTTGTTGCAGATGACTGACCACGGGGATTACAACCTTTCGCAAATAGAAGAACTTATATTGTGTGGGCACTGCCGGAGGACATTCAATGATTCAAATCTTGTACCAAAAGATTTGGCCTGCAAGCATACCTTCTGCTTGGAATGCATTACAACTGGCTTAGGCAAATCTACATCGGGATCTGTGAGAGAACGGGAATTGTACTGTGTGCTCTGTTGGAAGTTGACAGAGCTAGCAGAAAATGGACCAGAGGGACTTGAGACCAATGGTCCCAAACTGAATTTAGTGAAGCTGTACATGACACTCAAAAACAATGGACCTACTTTGGCTAATGGAAATGGCCCTCACATCGATCCTTCAACGCATGAGGTATGATCTGAAAGCTTCATGGGGATGGAGGAGGTAACTCTATAAAATTTAATAACCAATTTAAATGTCACTTGCAGGATGACCAAATCGAGTTATGCATTCCTCACAGTTCTCCATTGCGCCTATGGTGCACTGACTGTAAGAAGCCTCTCTGCATCGAATGCCAAAATGTGGAACCAGAGAGCCACAAGATATGGACTTTGGACCAAATGAAAAAGATGGTAGCCACTTCTTTCAATTCTTCACTTAATAAATACAAAGTACCCCTAATTTAAAGTGCTCCTAACATGAACTAATCTAAATGCTAATTCTAGGCTTCTAAGGAAATGGCCTACATGACCCACATGGATGATAATGTTCGGCAACTAGCAAGGCGACAGCGTCAATTTTTAATACTTATTCGGGATGCATGTACTGCACTGATAAGAGAGGTACAATCTAGTCTAGACAGCGACTGGACTGTGGAACCTACGGCTGAAATACGTGAAGCCTTAGCTCATATACAAATCGCACTAATGGATGCCAAATCGCCTAAAGAGGTGCATGAACTATTCTCGCTTGCACTCCTTAAAAAGCAATCATTGCAGGTAACTAAAATAAGTAACTCAATGCTTTTTAAAGGAACATGGATCATGAATGCCAGCACTTATTTTATTTTTCTCAATTACAGACCAAGTGTCAGGAGTTGATAATTCAGTGTCAACTCAATGATTTAATTGGACATTCCGATGCTGTATTTAATTTTGAATCCCTTCATCAAGCTGTTGCAAGTATCCTATCAAGCGACAACGAAATTAAGCCAATCCCCTTAAAGCAACCAATTCAAGATCCTATCTTGTTCCTGACAAATTATTGCATGTCTCAACTTTACTCTCGGATGCATCAAAGATCAAACGGTGACAGTGCCTTCTTGAGCCACAGCATGCAGCGGCAGTTGGTTATAACCCCACCTGAAGTTCTGAATGATTCTTCAAGGCCAAGCATGCTTACCCCAACTCAAAGTCTGCCCTTGAGTGAACCTTTAGATCCCTTCATTGATACTAATGATTCTCAGGTTGAGTATAATCATCAGGTAGCTCCACAACCTGCTTCTGAACCGTTTGATAACACATCAGAACTTGAACTTTCTCGTCCATCTACCCCACCAGATGCCTATAGCCCGCCAGAACCCTTTGCATCCCCACCTGCTCATCACGCCCCAAAACCCTTCGTCCCACTTGCAGCAACTACTGCCCAAATAGTGCAGATGAATTCAATGGCATTGGAACGAGCAGAACCACCTGCACCGATTATTCATCCGCCTGTGCGACCAGTTCCCACCAGATCTCCGGCAAACGTCTCCCCTCGGTATTACTTCAATATAGATATAAGCGGAGTTGCCAAGGGGAGGATCGTCATCGAAACGCGGCCAGATGTTGCTCCTAAAATGTGCCGAAACTTTGACAGACTGACCAATACAGACAGGAAGCCCTCATACAAAGGATGCGCCATATTCCAATGTTGGAAAAACGAATCGGTGAGTTAGCTCCAGCCCTCCTTACATTATAATGAAAAACATTCATAAAATTCTAATATTTTTTCTCAATTTTTAAGGTTATTACTGGCGATTACGAGTATAACACCGGTCGAGGGGGAAGGTCCATCTATGATGAACATTACTTTCAACCCGATGAGACAAGACTACCCGCAATAAGAGGTGCAGTGGGTATGCGACGACAGCAAAAGAAACATGATTATTTTGGATATGTAGGATCCCAATTCCGCATAGTTCTCCAGGATACTCTCAACTTCACTGGCATTTTTGGTCAAGTTGTTGAAGGCATTGATATAGTTGATCTGATTGCAAATCATGGAGATGCAACAGGAAAACCTGTCAAGCCCATTACAATTACTAAATGTGGAAAGCTAACTTAAAAAAGTACCTGTGGCTGATTCTTTTCCAAATTTCGTGTATAAAGTACTATAATCTCTCGATGTTAGGTTCTGTTATGATAATACATTATTCAGAACATTTTCTTCCAAATTTGATATTGTGAACATTTCTTTTCATTAGTCTTCCTAATCAGAATTTTTGTTTATGAAGGCAATCCATTATAAAGACTGGACCTTAACTCTCATTGAAATTTCAAAACTTCCTGTTAAACTATATTTTAAGCTCCACAGAGGGGTAGTTTTTTGCAGTCCATTGTGATGTAAGAGTAAGGATAGAAATAAATCATGCAATGTTAACACAAGTTGAAACTTCCTTGATCTTCAATTACATACATTTGTCAATTGAATTATTGTATAAATCATTCCATTAGATGATGGTTCTAGTTCTGTTTCAAGACTTACAACTTAAATGTAAGATTTATAATTAAGCTGTGTAAATGCATCTAATTCAAGGTATGTCTCTGGATATGGATTTTTGAAAAATATGTCATTTTGGTAACATTCCATTTTCTGTAGAAATAGTGTCAAGTCAATTGACCCTGTCAGATAATTTGCATTTATTTTTTAGGGGAAGGGACCTGACATACTGAGTGGTGACACTGCAGTGGGCAACCTTTTAAAATGTTGGGTTGATGAAAGATATGAGAATCAAGCAATGTGTTTCCCTCCCTCAATTTAAAGTAGTCTTAAGAATGAAATGAGATTTCTTACCTATGTCCATCAATTTACCTAGATCAGATCCTCATGTTATTTTATCTTGCTAGTATTGTAATTGGAATTTCTGTGACTTTTTCCAGACCTTCTTGGTTACACATTGGTTTATTACCTTCACTTTTTTCCCTCCGATTTTCACAATTCTTGAGAATTTTGAAAGACTTAATTTTTATGAAAATTTTATGTGGAACCAGATGAGAACATAGTGCCATAGTCATAAAAGGGAAACCTCATGCAAGGCCACATTTTGTTCTGGTCCAAATGTTATAAGCCTGTGATTTTGTTCCTAGGCTAAAGCAAATTGTGCAAAACCAAGTGTATATTGCCCCTACTTTAATAATTATTCTTTTTAGCATTTAATACTTAAGTGGTGAATGTTAATTACAAGGTATTCTTACTGTATCTTTCTATCTTTTACCAGCATTATTAATGTCTTGAGTATATTGCTGAGCAAGATTAGCACTACTAGCTTAATTCTTGTACTTATTTTTCTCTACCAAAATTGTGATTGTATTCAGTGTGTTAGAAACTAAAATTCAATCGAACAGAACCAAGATTGCACAATGAATACTATGAGCTAGACACTTGAACAATTTTTTGTATGTTAAATGTGCAAAAAAGCAAGTAAGGCGAGAAGTGAATTCTTATATCAGAATGCAGTATTGTTTAACAATTCTTTGAACGTGATAGTTGGTTATTATAATTGTCTATGTCAATTTTAAAATGGCACAATTTCAACAATGAATTCAAACCCATTTTTGAGATCAAAATTGACTTCACTATGAGATGTCAGTTTATGTATGTTTTTCATGGATTTGAGGAGCTTTGAGTCAATTATGTAATGCAGCTCAGCTCACAGTGCGAATAAAATGGAAAACCAATACCACTCGACGTGTCAATAGTGTCCCCATAGTCCCAAAGCTTTAGTTGAAAGTGTTCCACTTACCTTGTAGTAAACATCAGGCACATACTGCTTGTCACTTGATTCACGAATACTTCCAAGCTCAGGGGCATCCTTCGTGGGGACTAGACAACTATCACGCACCAAAGCCATGCATTGGTTTGAAACCTGGTATCCTTCCATATGGACTTGGTTGGTAGAATCTCCTACAAAAAAAAAAAAACAATGGAGGATTGAATGAGTGTGAATAAAAAACATAGTCACTTTAAAACCACCATCTATGTTTTACCTGTGACACAGACGGTAGCAAATTTGGAACCAAAGTATCCACCAGGTGAGAATCGGCAAGGATTAGGGTGCAAATTTTGGAAATGCCCAGCCATTATACATTCTTGAGCAGAGAGGAAATGGCTTTCAATGTTTCTCACATGCTGAACCTGAAAAATAATTTAGGAAAAGAATTAAAATTAGGCAAAAATATTGAAGCAGATATTTAGGAGGATCTGGAAGCTCCAGGTTGACAATATAAAGTAGGGAAGGCAAACTTACAGTTCCTCTTTGCATGTTATCTGCAATTAAGTCAGTGAAAATCCATCCAATGCGCTTCATTCCAAGTTGCCTGGCTACATCATCCACTACATCTTCTTTCTCATCCGGCAAAAGCAACGAAACAGAGTCTCTTGAACTTTCCTGGCAAATTTTTGCAAAAGTGCATAGTTTGAGTACAAATATAGAGTACATGAAAATCAAAGCTATTTTGTTAGCCAAACAGTTATACCTGTGGAGGTTCATAGATGGCAGACACAGTAGCTCGGATTCCAAGAGGAACATCAGCATGGATTTCATAAGTACCATATAAGAAACCAATTCTCTGATGACCTGTAACCCTCCAATAATCCAAGAAACGTTCTACTATTTGAGGATTTTCAAATGTTATATTGTCAACATGACGGTACACCTAAGGCAACAAAATGTCAGAAGAAGAACCGAATGAATCAGACATTCAATAAAGGATTTAATCCACATAACAAGGTAATAATATTATGAAAATAATACCTGTCGGTTCAAAGTCACAGCATTTGGTTGACACTTGGAGCAAATGCCACGTGGCCATGGTGGATGGTCTTTACAACCTAACTTGATTCTGCAGCTTATGTCTTCCAGGGCCACAAATTTACCTCTGTAAGGTCAAATTATCACTTAAGAGTTATTCAGATTAATATTAACAACAAAAGAATCTTATATTGCTATTTACCTATCAACACCAGCAGTCAGTTTTCTCAGATATGAATGAAAAGACATGTGTTTAATTTTTTGTTCTTTCAAGTATGCTTCATCAAACGGTTCTAGAGGGGAGCAATGTAAACAGCAAGCATTTGCACCATGACGACAACTGCAACCAATGTAGCCTCACTTAAAACAGACTATTCCATAAAAGGATCTTGAAAATTATACAATGCTCTTGCTCCTTCTAATTTAAACATACCAGCAAGTTGAGCAAGAGAACTCATTTACAAACATCGCAGATAATACTTACAATTTATCGTCCCGATCTCGTTTTATTTTTCCGTCAATTTTCCAAAGTTGCAAATCCACATCATCCTCTTGAGAACCATTTGATGAACTACTTGAAGAAAAACTTGCAGACGCTTTCCATTGCGATGTCTGGCTGCTGCTAGTTGACGGCTCTGATCTATCATGCTCCCCAGACGCTGCAGTAAATTATGGAAATGAAATTCAATAAAACCATGAATGGATAAATAGTTACTAAGCTCATAATTCAAAGGTTGCACACAGTGAAAATAGCAAGTGTTATCATTTCGATTATACCTGATGGAGTGATGCTTGTATGAGAGTTCATGGGGGAATCAATGGGCCATAACAGAGCTCCATTAATAGGTGCTAAGTAAATGAGATCTCCATGGTTAAGACCAATGCTTTTCAAGGTTTTGCTCCTGGAGGAATTGATTTCATCCTTGTTTCCTCGTTCACGAAAAAGGGCAAAGCAAAATCCACTTAATCCAAAGGCATCGTGAACCTGTAACAAAATCAGTTTTTAAGTTAGAAAACTAATAACAACTGCCTTGAAAATGTTAGAGCTGTGTAAAGGATCACTATTGCACACATCAGAAAAAAACAACAGATAAGAAAAGAGGAAAGAAAGGAGCAATGGAGAGAAAGTACCTTTTGGAATAAATCCATGGTTGTATCAAGGGGATCACATTCCACTCTTCGTGTGCCTTCAGATGACTGGACTCGTAGCAACTGAAAATGGATACACAAGAATTAAAAATGTGTATTTGCCTACTACTAAGAAAACAAACATAGAAAATCAATTAACACAATACAGATCTCCGTCTGCATAAAATAGCCCGTAAGTGTGCATCTTGACAAAAAAACTGGGATCCATTACTTTTTTATTTTTAAGTGTTAGACTGACATTGACAAGTGAAAATGACATTTGATTGTTCCATCAAAATGCAGGCTTCAATATTAACACTTAACAGAAAGTAAATGGAATGCAACTAGGTGCCACAATTCAGTGCGTGTAAAATCACGAAATAAAAAGGCCTCAATTCATTAACGGGTAAAATCGTGCCGATGAGGTGAAAATAACAAGAGAAATATAAACAAAAGTGAGGTTAGTAGCCGCATTAAACTCCCCTGCAAAACCCACCAGCATCGCTCTGGTTTTCAGGTACCACTCATGTACAGGGGTTCAATTTGTCTGACATGAGAGAATGAACGGTTTCTCTATAACTGGACCTTGCAATAAGAGTTGCAGAGGCTGAAATAGGCCTACAATCAGACAAGTCTTTGAGTAATGGTGACGAAGCATTTAAATTTTACTGTATTTCTAGTATCTTAGGTTTAAAATGAGAAATGAGGTGAAGCGGGAACACAACTGAGGACAGTGACATAATTCCACTGGGCGCACGTAACGGTCACTCACAATTTTCCTTTTTGACATTTTGAGAGGATCCTTTTTCCGAGTCCGAGTGGGTTCGAATCAGCTGTTACAACAGTTTCGGCAGCGCTGTAGTTTTGTTTTCTTCCCATACAGGAAACGAGACAGAAGAACATCGACAGTCTAGAAATTTCTCATGAATGTGGTTTCCTGGGTCATGAAGTGCGTTTTCTCAACCGAACCACCGATCTGCTAGTGCAGTGTCTGCAATTCTACGTAAATTTTACTCTGTTCTCGTCAGGAATTAGACTTTTCGTCGACTCAGGTAAGTCTATCTGTGAAATAGTAATCATTTGGTTTTCGTGACGACCAACCTTTATGTCATTCAAGTTAACGTAGCCTCGATAGTATAAGAACACAGACTTAACCTATGTTAACTGGATTTCTTTATTTCTTTTTCATTGGTTTTATTGATATGATGACATACGCTAATAGCATGATGTAATATTTCACATGTAGCGCCCCTCGTCACGGATAATGTATCTTTTGACCTGTTTCGAAGTTCGCGTTTTATTCTGTAGCATTGATGTGTCCTTCCTTCATGACAGTAGTTATTCAGTGTTCAGTGGTAATTATTTATTTTAATGTCAATTTCTCTTAAACCTCAGGTCTGCTTATTCACTTTTTATTTTTTCAACAATAAATAGTACCACTTTTTTAGGCACAAAGTAGCCTCATGAAAAGTACGCTGATGGTTTTGTGTTGTCCTATGAAATAGGACCTCTGTCCACATTATATTTATTATTTTTTAATGTAATTCATGGTTGTTCAAATCTCATTTGTGTGAAGGCTTGTTGTCAGCAGTGGTCTGTTCAATTTGAGTGTTCTTTTTTTCAGAGCGTTCTTTACTTTCACTTTTGTGTAACTTGCTCTAATTAATTTATGGTCTTTTTGAGTCTATGGAAACAAAAGCTGGATTTTGGGTCAAGACTTGACTCTTCTCTGGTAGAATTTGTGTTGAATTTTAGGGAACGGCCGCTCTGACTTGTCAGAACTAATAAAACAGCGAACAGGCCTTGCCTTTCCCATCTGTCACTCTCATGGACAGTCTTCATGGATCTTCACCCACCTGTCGTGGGGTGGGGCATTCGGGGCCCAGCTAAGGGAGGGGGTTGAAAAGAGGCTGAGGTCATCCTATTTATATGGGGATGTAAACCCGTGCCGTAACTGTCACCCTCAGGTGTCTGTCTGGGCAGAGCCATGTGCCGTGTGGCTGTGGCTGGGGCCAGAGGGCCAGGCCGGGGCGACCTGGCGCGGCGTCAAGCCTCGTCCCATCTCGAGTACCCCCTCCTTGACCGCGGCACCGCGGCGCTGCACGTTGAGCCCCATTCAGTGGTGACGCGGCGTGCCTGTTGCCTCGGTGCGCCCGGTGCGCCTAGAACAAACTCACGCGGGGGCGGCAGATGAGGAAAAGGGGGGCGTGTTTTGGCGGCAGTTTTGTCGCCGAGGGTGCCAGACGCGGTGTTTCATCGCATTGTCATCCCTCACCTGCCCACCCCGCTCCCGCTGGCTCCCGCCCCCTGGTGCAGTTTCGCGCGCTCTCCCCGCACTCACTGCCCCCCTCTGCGCGGTGCTGCGCGTGGTCAGCTGCGCCCCACGGCCGTGCTCTCTCTCTCTCTCTCTCTCTCTCTCTCTCTCACTCTCTGTCTGACGCCCACCACAGCCCGCCGCGAGCGCGACAAGGACGGCACGCCCGCAGGTGCGGCCAATGGCGGTGCGGGCGGGACGGCGATTTAGCGAAGCGAGACTCGCGCGCTAAGCCAAGCGGTGTGTGTGAGTGTGTCGGCGTCTGTGTGGACGGTGGCGCGGTAGTGGGGCTCGATGCGGAGCGCGGAGCACCACGGAGTGGCTTAGCCTCTTTGCCGCGCAGCACGCGCAGTCACAGTGTATCGCGTCTCGGCCTCTCGGCAGGCAGGCCGTCCCGGCAGGTGCGCCGTTCAGTCCTCCACGCCACTTTGCGAGGCCGGCCGGACCCAAGTCCGAGGCGATAGCGTCCGCGTCATCGCTTGCTCGTCATCGCCTGCTGCTCCTTCTCGTCGCCATGCCGCGGAGGTAAAGCAAGGCGCCGGCGATACTCCGCGCGCGAGGGGCAGCCCAGACGTCGAGGAAGAGTCGCACGGTGTCGTCGCTCGCCACTGATTACCCTGATAGCTGTCAATGCCGTTCTGTTGCGCCACGAGCCTGCCGCTTAGCGCTTGTTACGCAAGCTCCCAATCGTTTGCGAGCAAGGGAGGACGTTTGGAACGGCCACCCCGTCAGAACTGTCTTTACGACCGTCCGCGTTGCGAGGTCCATGTGTTTTGCTCGTGTCGTAGTGGAGCGCAGAGCGTTGGGGTGTTGCAACGCGTGCCTACGACTCCCGTGCGGGGCTTGCTAGCCGTCAACCTGTGACGCTACGTCCTGTCCGTGGGAGGCCCCGTTTCGGGTTTGTGGTAGTGCGGCGAGACGCGAGCGCAGAGCGCCGGTGGCGGGCCCCCCGTCACGCCTGTTTGCGCTCAGCATGCGGGTGCAGGGTCTTCAGGCTCGGTAAGTCGCCGAGCGCAGAGCGCCTGGTGGCGGGCCGCCCCGTTGCACGCGCGTGTGTTGCGGCTCAGCATCGCCGGAGTGGCAGGGGCTCTGTCAGGCTCCGCTAGGCTCTGCTGGTGTTTGTGTCGCTGTCGCGCTCGCTCACGGCGCCTTGTGTTGTCGCAGGTCGGCAGCTGGACGGCGTGTGGCACACCTCCATCGTGGTGTACGGCAGGGAGTACTACTTCGGCAGCTCGGGCGTCCAGGACTCGGACCCGGTAGGTATCGTCGACTCATTCGGCACAGTGATCTTCGTCGCTGTCTCTCCCGCACCGGTACGGGACGCCCTGTGAGTGCGACAGAAACAGTGCGACGTAAGCTATGTGTTGTTGTTTGTGCTGCCGGCAACGCAAGCAGGGCTTTCCTTCTCTGCCGCCCCCGCCGGTGTTTTTGTAGCGCCACCGAGAATCTGGGGGCGGGCCGGGGGCGGGCCGGGGGCCGCGATGAGCGCAAGTCGTTTCATTGATATATTTTTAAACCTAGTCGCGCCTGCATTGTTTTTGTTGCCGTGAGTCAGGTCTTTTTCACCGGGCCAATCATCGCTGTGACGTCACCGCCCTGACGCGTCTCTGCCAGTCCTGCACCGTCATGCCGCGCTGGACCTGCTGGACCCGGCCGAGTTGTACGCCTGGGGGAAACTCTCGCCCGGTCCGGCCAGCGACTCGGAACTGATTCCGGAGGCCTGTCTCTCGCTCTCGTTGGTGTGAGAGAGACGGTCCGGCGGGGCAGTAGAACGGGACAGCCAGACCGGGCACGGCCCTTGTGTCGGTGACGGCCGGGGTTTTGGTTTGGTGCGAGCGTGCGGTTCGGTGCGGTTTGTTGGCCCCCTAGTGCGTCGCGACGGCGGCCCGCGAAGTGACGCTCCTGCGGGGGCGGGCCGCCGGCTCTTCTTGGCACTTGCCGGTGCTTGGCCGTGCTCCGCCAGCTCCGCGCGCTTCACGTGAGGAGTGAGCGAGTCCCGTAAACACGGCGGCGCGCGCCCAGAGAGGCGGACCCAGGCGGACAGAGAGGTGGACGGAGGGAGAGAGGCCGTCAGAGAGGCGGGCGGTGGCGGCGCGGGGTCCATGATGGAATGTGTCTCACTACGCGCGCGGCGCGCTCTAAGTTTGGCTCTGGCTCGGCAGCCGGCCCCTATTTTTGCCTATGCCTTCCCCCTCCACGCGCGCAGCCCGCGCAGCCCTTCTCCGCCCCTCCCCCGCCCGGCCGGGGCGTGCGTTGCGCGCACGCCGGGCAGGGCCGGCCGGCCGGCCAGAGCAGGACGGATCGCCGTGCAGGAGAAGTCCCGCTCCCCAGCCTTCGGCGTTCGCAGCCATCCCGTCGACGGGTAAATGTTGTGGGGGTGAAGTGAAGTGCAGTCGAGTGTTGCGATTCGGGCGATGTGTGCGTCGTATCCGCCGCGGGCGCACGCTGCAAGGCGCGCGTCGTCTGTAACGTGTACATACTAACGTGTAGCTCGTCGCCGGGAGTGCGTAGTGACGTTGTGAGTGCGCGTCTGTGTGCCAGGCAGGCCAAGCAGGCTAGGCTCCCTCTTCGCAGCAGCCAACATGGCGGCTCTCAGTGCGTCCCGCTGCGTCCCGATGCGCTGCATCCGGCCGGTCTGCTGGCCACTCTGGTCCATCTAGCCCCTGCAGCGCCCTGTGGTGTCTCAAGACGCCCCCTGGCGGCCTAGCCGGGCTGCAATGGACTTCGGTCTAGCCCTACACTGCTAGCCCCTCTCGAGTCAGTGACCTGCAAGGAGGACCGAACCTCTGCCGTGGTTTCGGCCCTAGAGGTGGTTGCTACCCGGGTTGTGCGCACGGCCGGGGCCCGCCTCTCTGCCCCCACCCCTTCCCCCTCCTCTCGTGGGAGCCAACGTCGGCAAGGTGCCCGCCATTGTGGCCGCCCCGGTTGGCCCCGGTGTCGTCGCCGTCCGGGTCGTTGGGGTGATTCACCCGTTGACGTATGGTTGTTGTTGTTGTTGCAGAGTGGCACCATCCTCGGCAACCCCCTCAAGACAGTGGACCTGGGCAACACGTTCATCCCAAAGCAGACCTTCCTAGACTACATCACCGAACTCAACGAGTCCACTTTTAGGTCGGTACAGTTGTCCATTTCTCATCCCCGCTTCCTCCTTCCTCCCTCACGGCGGCTATTTCGGCCCGGTGCTCGTCTCGGCCGTCTCGGCTTTGTTTGTCATTCCGCTGCTTTCCTTCTGTTTCAGAGGGTCGACCTACGACCTGTTTAGCCACAATTGCAACAATTTTAGCAACGAACTAGCTCAATTCCTCGTAGGACAAGAAATTCCCAAATACATTTTAGATCTCCCTCAAGAAGTTCTTAGTACGTAAGTATCGAAGGGCGTGGTGTTGATCGTTGTCGCACTCTGGAACATATTGTGATTGGTGGTCTTTTTGCCTCTCTGTCCTGCAGTCCCATTGGCGCCTTGCTTCAGCCGCTGATTGCCCAGATCGCCGCCAGCGGGCACAACATTCCCAACTTCCACCTCACGACAGGCCCCGGGTCTTCGGCGAACGTGCGGGCGCGGGAAGACTCGCCCGACCTCGTCAAACTCAACTCGGACATCGAGGAGGCGAGGTGAGGAGAGGACCGGGCCATGAGCTCTGCGGTTTAGGCAGGGATCAAGTGAAACCCTTCATTCATTTCTTGCAGTATGTTTTATTAACTGGTACCTAAGGATTATTGATACTTGCTGACACCACACTCTGCATAAGATGACGGCGTGCCGCTGGTTTCTCCTGAATTTCTGTTCAAAGTGGAAATTCTGTCTAATTTAATGGTGTATCAACGCTGAAACGCACGAAATTGCACGCAATCACTAACACAACCACTAAGTCACGCATGCGCGGTTCTCTGGGGTTAATTGCAAATCCCTAGAACTGTCCAAGTCATCACAAATTATACTGCATACTGTAAAGTTATTGGCCGTTATTTCAACTTTTGTGCGAAATATCGACCAACTCACATTAATGTCGCGAACACCGTATGCCTATGCTCCACATGCTTCAGAAGTTGTCCCCGTTTTAGCTTCTCTCGCTCATGCCTCTGTTTCCGTTTTTTGTGTGTTTTACAACAGGAAACCGCCTCCGTCGTAGATCCCAACCCCCGATTACCTCAACCTTGTCTTTTAATCAACTCTGACATAGAAATTAATTTTTTTCTGCTGCCAAATACACATCAGTATTTTCTTCCTGTTCTGTGGTATAATGTAAAGTAACTTAACGTATTACAAAAGAATAAAACATTCCTTAACTAATGGTGTTTTTTCTTGTGTGCCACCTTAACACTCCTTGTAGTTTCCTCACAAATGACAAAGGCTCCTCTGTAATGTTTGCAAACTTGCTGCTGCGCACCAACTTGACCTATTCTTGCACTAATGGCTGCTCTCTTTTTCACTAACCACAACCAATTCGCATTGGGCACAATCGACACGACTCTACACGCGAGGGGGCTACGTAAGGCAGTGCTTTTCGTACGGGCGGTCTGTGGCTTTGCACTTTGGCAGTGCCTGGCCCGAAATGGCAGACGATCCTTTGTGCTTCAGCCTTTCAAGTTCAAGTTTCTTCCATGAAGGGGAGGCAAAAGCAGCAAAAGTTAGTCACACGATGGCTGTTTGAGGGAAAAAAGGTACCGATCTTGATACCCCGTGTAACCTTTAACTTTAAAAAACTGAGATAAATTAACGATGGACCCCCCTGTTACGGCCCCCTCGCACTATAAAAACATGTAGGGACATATTACACACAGCACAACGAAGGGTTCCACATCAAAAAGTAAGATTCACCGTCTTTCTGCATTTCTGGATCCTCTGAGACTCACAGTTTTTAATGGTACCAAGGCTGCTTTTGTTGTTTCCATTTTGGCGGGCCGACAAGCGCCACGCTCCTCACGCGTTCCGACCCGTTACTCGTTCCGACAGGCTAGAGGCGCTGCGCTTGGCCGAGAAGCGCAACCGGATAAGCGAGAAGATCGCCAAGCGCGAGCGGAAGGAGCAGAGGAAGAAGCGTCGGGAGAGCTTCCCGGCAGAGCAGGACCCCGACGCTGGTGGTGGTGATTCCAGGTTCGCGTCCCGTCAGCCGCCGATGCTTTTTGTTTTTGTTGTTTCACGAGGGGACACTCAATGAGCTGTCCCCCAGCGAGGCAGGGCGGGAGGACAGCGCACCGATCAGGGCTGTTCTGCAGTGGCCTAGATAAGCTGGAGGTCTACGGCCCAGCCAGCAGTGATTCCGAGAGTCGTTGTCGTCGCTCTGTCTCTCTCGCACCTTTAGGGCACCCCCATGAGTGCAAGAGAGACAGCGGCGAAACGACTGTCGGAATCAGCCTGTAGCAGCCTCGGCGCGGCCTGTCCTGCCAGTCCCGGCCGCGGTGTGGAGTGGTGTGTTCGTCCTGCTGGTGTGTCGCGTGCCGTTTGGTAGTTGACTCGTTTACCCTGGCATGCTCCCCCATTCCGCCCTTGCAGTGACTGACAGTGTGCCGTGAGGTTGTCGCTTCCGGAAACGCGTACGGCCAGTGTCTCCGACTCGCGACGCGGCCACTGACTTGCTTCCCTGCGGACAGGCGGCGCTCCCTGATGGCCGACACGGAGGTGAACGGCGGCGGGCGCGCCGAGACGGAGTCCCCCGCGCGCGAGACGCGCAAGGACGGCAACAGCATGGTGTCGGTGCTGGAGGAGCAGGAGAAGCGCGAGCGCGAGGAGCGGCGCCAGCTGGAGGAGGAGAAGCGCATGCGCGACCCGCCCATCGTCTTCCGGGAGTCCTGCGACGTGAGTACGCCGGGTTGTCTCTCCCGCGCCTACAGAGACGCCCACAAGGCTGACCCCGTCCCGTCCCTGTCCGCAGCTCCGGGTCGAGTTCGACAAGCTGGTGGGGCTCATTGACGGCAAGATGAACGCGGACGAGCAGCAGTCGCTGGAGGAGCTGCACCTGTACATGCTGGAGGACGAGGGCTCGTGGGCGCTCGGCGACGGCTTCCTCAACTTCATCGGTAAATGGCGCAAAGGCGGTTGGAATGCCATGCTGGCCGTGCACTGTAACTAAACGCCACTTGCGTGCTATGCAGGCCGCCTGCTGCACGACAAGACGCTGCCGTGCGAGGTGCGCGTGCACACGCTGCACGTCCTGGCGCTGGCCGCCCTCAAGGACGACTCCATCCTGCTGCTGCACCAGGACCGCCGCGAGCACGTGCTCATGAACTACGCCTTCGACGTGGACCGGCTGTCGCTCGAGGAGCAGCAAGCGCTCGCGCTATTCGTAAGTGTGCGACGGGGTCGCGCGGTGGGCGCGCTAACGGTTTGCTTTGGAAATGCCCTCATTGGTGTCGGTTTTCCGCAGGTGTGCAACCTGTTCGAGAACCTGAGCAGCTCCGAGTGGCTGCTGTACATTTCCGAATGGCAGTACTGCAACAACAACATCAGCAACATCCGGGTCACCACCAAGGTGGCCGTCAACTCGCTGCTCTCCGAGGACCCTCTCCTCAGGGACAGGGGCTCGGCCATCATCCACAACCTGGCCTGCAAGGAGGTAAAAACAGTGGTCTGTATCTGCACTGGGTGAGCCTGCCCTCCCCGCCCCGCCCCCTAATGCCCTTCACTGTAACCGAGTTTTAGTTGTTTTCCATCGGCGCACTTGCCACTACAGCACTGTTGGCAGCGGGAGCGCTATTCGCGGTAGATTTTCATCACGCCCGCCTGGGCACCCTCAGGAAACTCGAATCGTGAACCCAGTGGCTACAGACACAGACATGATGTGCATGGCTTTGCAGTACACAGTAGGACAGAACCAGATACTTGTACAAAGATTTGCCTCGGTGTTTTTGGTTTTCTCTTTTCCAGAAAATGTTACAAAACGCAAGTCTTAGAAGACTTTTGCCTCGCGGCTCCAAATCAAAGGTAGCGCACAGTCGCCAATGTTTTTTTTCTTATCTAGTGTAGGCTCCTTTGAATGTTGCTGTTTTTCTGCATTTGGCTAGGCTAGGCCTTGACCAGGCCTCGGCTAGGCCAGAGGGGTTGACACCTTCGCTTGCTGACGTGGCCGCGTAGGGCCTTGTAGGGCCGCATTGAAGGTCTGCTGAACGTTAGCGCGCTCGGGTTCACAGTCCCAACCAAACGTGCCTGGCATCTCACATTTGTTTTTCTTGGCATCCTCCTTGTACCCCTGTCGGCCCTCTCCCAACGGCCCGAATGGCTTGCTGCTTTGGTCGTTGCACCGTATGTCTGTGTCTGTAGTGTTGCCCGCCGAATGAGAACAAAACGTTCAAGAACGAAAGTACGTTCGCTCTGGGGAATGAAAGGTCGTTGAGACGTGACCACGACGGCTGAAGCAACTGTTCGAGATCTCGAATTCTGAGTCGCCACGTTTCTCGCGCCGCTTTGCCACGCGTCATGTGGACCTCGCAGAAAGGATTTTGCGGACGTGTCTGTGGATCGCACTGCATCGCACTGCATCGCTCTAACTGCAACTAGTGTGCCTGTTTTCGAGTCCGCCGTTCTGAACGCTCTGGCAAGCTCTCTTGAAAGTCTTGAACTTTGAGTCTCCGGGGCCGGCCGCCTGCGGTGCAACAGTGCGCGCTCCGTCGGCGGCCCGCCCCACGGCGACCCTTCCCCGCCCCCGCCCGCCCCGCCGCCCTGCCCGCCCGCCCCCTGGTGACGCTCTGTGCTGCCGCAGGTGTTCGACGACGTGGCCGTGGAGCTGGCCATGGCGCTGCTGCAGTTCTTCAACAGCAACCCGGCCGAGGAGCAGCTGTTCCGCACCATGAAGGCCCTGGCGCGGTTCTGCCAGGTGGCGCCCAGCGACGTCCCGCAGCTGGTGCAGATGATCGGCCCGGAGCCCGCCAAGTTCAAGGGCACCTCGAAGCGCGTCGACGAGCAGATCCAGGCGGTGCAGAGCAAGATGCGCTGAGCGCGGCCGGGGCCGAGCCAGGCCGAGCGCTGCCAGACTGACTGAAGGCCTGAAGCAGCCTGAAGGCGCGCCGACGAGACGAAATTACGAGTCGACAAGACTCTGGCGCGCCATGGGACATGGTAGGCAAGTTCTGTGATGTAATTAGTAAATGAGTCATTTTTATTGTTTTTCTGTTCAAATTTTAGCAGTCACACGTTGATGTTGTTTTTTTTACTCTGTGTTTCGTGCCGCGTACTTACACTATCTCATAATGATCAACTTTTTACGGAGTTGTCGTAGCTTTTGCATTTTTCTACAGTCGTTTTTGCATTTTGCGTTTCCGCTGTGGTGGGCGCGCTCAGGGTGCAGAGGGGTACATTGTATACTTTTACCATGAAAGCCTATTTATTTTTCAAGAAAGATTGTATGAAAATAAATTATAATTATGTACAAGTGATTCGAATGCTGGAACGACAATATGGTTTTCGATTAATGATATTTGTATGTCTGTATTATTGTATGTGACAAACTATGAAATAAAATGATGAAATCGGCATGGAATGTGTCAAACAAGACTTGAAAACAGCGTCCCCGTTTATTTGCCCTGCCATCCCAGATGAAAAAGGATCTTGACACCGGTGCCGGTGGACGGCAGGGCAGCCTCGCACCACGCGGTCCGACGCAGTCTCCGCGAGGCATAGTGTCCTGCGCCTGAGGGACCGCGGGCGTGGCGGGCGTGGGCGATGAGCATGCACCGGATGTGGCCTGCCGCGGGCCTGCCGCGCACCGGAAGTGGGTCGGCCGCGTCAGACGGCGCTGTCGGTGCCGGTGTCTCTGAGGATGATCTTGCTCATGAGGGCGTAGACGCCGCCGCCGGCGCCCAGCATGGCGATGCCCACCAGGAGGGCGATGGACCAGGCCGGGATGGCGGAGCCCCCTGAAAGCACGAGCAGGTGGAGCGGTGCCATGAGCCAGTCAACAACAACAAGCATTGGGTTTGGATTGAGTTGGGGTTCCGCGGCAGCAGCGGCGGGGCGTGCTAACTCAGCGGTTCTCAACCTTTCTCGGCTCGCGACCCCAAATTTGAAGCCAAAAATTTCCGCGACCCCCAGGAAAAATTTCGCGACCCCACGGGACCCCTCCTTTAACATGCCACGGCGTCTGATCCGAGGCGGGCATTTTGCTCCCTCAACGGGCAACTGGTCTTTGGACCTTCCTTTAGCATGCCTTTGTTACGGAGTGCAATTATCAGTCTTAGTTTGGGAGCAGTATTGTCTCAAAGTTGGCCGAAACGCTCAGAAATGTCTATGAAAAATCGTGTTTTGGGCCGATTTTAAGCAGCCACTGCGTCTGATCTGAGGCGGGCATTTTGCTCCCTCAACGGGCAGTTGGTCTTTGGACCTTCCTTTAGCATGCCTTTGTTACGGAGTGCAATTATCAGTCTTAGTTTGGGAGCAGTATTGTCTCAAAGTTGGCCGAAACGCTCAGAAATGTCTATGAAAAATCGTGTTTTGGGCCGATTTTAAGCAGCCACTGCGTCTGATCCGAGGCGGGCATTTTGCTCCCTCAACGGGCAGTTGGTCTTTGGACCTTCCTTTAGCATGCCTTTGTTACGGAGTGCGATTGTCAGTCTTAGTTTGGGAGCAGTATTGTCTCAAAGTTGGCCGAAACGCTCAGAAATGTCTATGAAAAATCGTGTTTTGGCCGATTTTAAGCAGCCACTGCGTCTGATCCGAGGCGGGCATTTTGCTCCCTCAACGGGCAGTTGGTCTTTGGACCTTCCTTTAGCATGCCTTTGTTACGGAGTGCAATTATCAGTCTTAGTTTGGGAGCAGTATTGTCTCAAAGTTGGCCGAAACGCTCAGAAATGTCTATAAAAAATCGTGTTTTGGGCCGATTTTAAGCAGCCACTGCGTCTAATCCGAGGCGGGCATTTTGCTCCCTCAACGGGCAATTGGTCTTTGGACCTTCCTTTAGCATGCCTTTGTTACGGAGTGCGATTATCAGTCTTAGTTTGGGAGCAGTATTGTCTCAAAGTTGACCAAAATAGTCACAACGATTTTTCGAAGACACTTGCGACCGTTTTGATCGACTTTGAGACAATACTGCTCCCAAACTAAGACTGACAATCGCACTCCGTAACAAAGGCATGCTAAAGGAAGGTCCAAAGACCAATTGCCCGTTGAGAGAGCAAAATGCCCGCCTCGGATCAGACGCAGTGGCTGCTTAAAATCGGCCCAAAACACGATTTTTCATAGACATTTCTGAGCGTTTCGGCCAACTTTGAGACAATACTGCTCCCAAACTAAGACTGATAATTGCACTCCGTAACAAAGGCATGCTAAAGGAAGGTCCAAAGACCAACTGCCCGTTGAGGGAGCAAAATGCCCGCCTCGGATCAGACGCAGTGGCTGCTTAAAATCGGCCCAAAACACGATTTTTCAAAGACACTGCTGACCGTTTCGGCCAACTTTGAGACAATACTGCTCCCAAACTAAGACTGATAATTGCACTCCGTAACAAAGGCATGCTAAAGGAAGGTCCAAAGACCGATTGCCCGTTGAGGGAGCAAAATGCCCGCCTCGGATCAGACGCAGTGGCTGCTTAAAATCGGCCCAAAACACGATTTTTCAAAGACACTGCTGACCGTTTCGGCCAACTTTGAGACAATACTGCTCCCAAACTAAGACTGATAATTGCACTCCGTAACAAAGGCATGCTAAAGGAAGGTCCAAAGACCGATTGCCCGTTGAGGGAGCAAAATGCCCGCCTCGGATCAGACGCAGTGGCTGCTTAAAATCGGCCTAAAACACGACCCCAGCATCGCCGCGACCCCTTAAAAAAATTTCGCGACCCCGCTTGGGGTCGCGACCCTAAGGTTGAGAACCACTGTGCTAACTTCTTGAAACTTAAAATTTTGGTAAATGGCCAGACAAAAAAGTTAAGCATCATAGAATAACCAAAATTCAAATTGAAGTTTGCCCTGTGCATAATCTTTTTATCTCTAGTCGTTTACGAGGCGGACACAGGCACACATGTGTCGTTAGCTCGCCCTGGTTCGCGGGCGGCGGGACGGTCCAGGCTACTCACTGTAGTACTGGCGGGTGATGGCCTTGCGGCCGCGCAGGACCTTCCTCCTGGCCTCCACGTCCTCGACCAGCAGGCTGAGCACCACTGCAAACAAGAAAGCAGGAACTCATACAGCGCGCTGCAGGGCATGCCAACGCGCCCACGCTTGCGCCATGCGCCGCCTCGCGCGCAGGCGGTGTTGTCCTTCGACGCGCAGGTGGGAGAGGCGCCATTGCGACACCAAACGACTGGGAATCAATCCACTTTAACGCAGATAAACTTTACAACGTATTTACATGACTGTCTTGTCGTTGAATGAGCCGTCTGCTAGTCACAGGTGGTATCTCGTCGGTTTGTGGTGAAATTCTAAGAGACGACGGCTACGGCAGAAGGTAGATGCCCCTCATAGTGCGTGGCTGGTACTTACACATGCCCACGGCCAGAAGGTAGAAGCCCGTCTTGAGCTTCATGGTGCGGACGGGGGGCGGCGCACGGATTCAGAAAAATGTGGTAACCTGACGGGCGGGAGCACCGCGGCGATGGCGACGACGCGAAGCAGGCGAAGCACTGGCCTGGGAGCGGCCGGGCGCTTCCTTCACGCCGGAATCTTATCTTATCGCGGCCCGCGGCCCCCCGCGGCCGGCGGGGCGGGGACAGGTGGGGACAGGTAGGGCGGGGCACTGACTCACGCACAGTTTGGGGGAGTTGAGTTCCAGTTCTGGTGAAGTTTCACCATGGGGTAGGTTTTTGCCGGTGAAGTTTTTTTTTGACAATAGGCAAAATTGAAGATCGATAGTAAACTTGTAAAGTTTTGAAAAGTTGACGGCTCATCGTAATCATGGCGCATGGCGCGTCGGAGTGGCCATTTGCCCGCCTTGACGCCGCCACCCGCCGTTTCGTTTCGGACGCGTCCCGCTTTTAGACGAGCCGGGCCAGGGCGGCGGGGTGGTGGAGGTGGAGGAGCAGGGCATGATCGTGGTCAGTTTGGCAGCCGAGTCGTGGAGCTGCTGGGGGTCGCCCCGCCCGGCCCGGCCCGCCGCCAAACGAGCCTCAGCCCCCCTCGCGCCTCGCGTGCGCTCTGGCCGCCGGGCCGGCCGACGCCACACTCCCCCGTACTCGCGTCCCGTCCGTCCCGTCGCGTCCTCCCGGGTGCGCCTGCACCGACGCCACCCTCGCCAGGTCCGCGCCGCCGTCGTCGAGGACCCCGTCGTCGCGAACGGGAAGGCCGCCGCCAGTGCTTGGATATCCCCCGGCGGGCATGGCCGCCCCCTGCAGACTGTAGGGAACGCCGCGCGGAGCAGCACCACGAGACCCGCGTCTAGATCAACAGGTACGCCCCGCCCCGCCTGGCCAGTGTCACTCCGCGACCTGTCCGTCCCGTCACTGTCAAGGGGCGTTCACCCAAAGTGTGGCCAGGCTCGAGTGTCCAGTTCGCGGCGCCTCCTCAAGTGTCGGCCCTGCCTCTCGCCCCCCCCCCCTAGACAAACCTGGCGGGGTAACCAAGCTAGAGGCGAGAGCGCCACCCTGCCACTCGAGTCGCGGCCACCCTTTCCGGTTCCAGTTCAAGCCTTTTTCTGCCGGACCTAATATGGCGGTGCGGCTCGTCGCTGTGGCTCTGCCCGTAAGTTTGGCGGCACTCACAGCAACGAGGTCGCGGGGGACAGCATCCTCGCGCAGGTCGGTGCGCAGTCCGCTCCGAATGCAAGTGGCGTGGCGCGCGAGAGTGTCAGCCCCCCAACACCCCGCGCGCCTTCGAAGCTCCCCCCTAGGGAGCCCCCTCGCAGTTAGCGCCCCGCGCCCCTAGATCTGTCGCCTCCTCGGGGCGGTCGCCGTCCGCGCCGCGTTGGCTCGCTGGCGTGGCCGCCGCCGCCGCGGCACGTCCTGCGGCCGCCGAGTCTCGAACGGCGAGGCAGACGAACGGCCGTGGGCAGTGCGGGGCAGTGCGGGGCAGTGCCACAAGAAATGGACGCGGCTCGGGCATCCGGGGCGTGCGGCTAGTCCGCCCCGCCGGCCTTGATGGCGTTCCCACCCCCGGCCCGGCCCGGTCCGGCGGCACGGCGGCACGGCGGCGCGGCGCATCGCACGTCCCACGGCGCTGCAGGGAAGGAAGGACCTTCGCGAAGACTATTTTTGTCGCCGGGGTCCGCCGGGCCGGCCGGTCGTCTGGCTGCTGGTCCTGCCGGTCCCAGTCATCACCGCCATTGTTTGTGTCTTTAAGGAGTGTACTTGTGTGTGTGAGAGAGAGTGAGAGGGAGAGAGAGAGAGAGAGAGAGAGAGGGGGGTGGGGGGGGTGGGGGAGTGAGAGTGAGAGGCAGAGAGTCGCATCGGTGCGTTGATGGCGTCGCCGACGTCCGCCTCAGCGATGTGTCAAGGCTGTGCTGTGCTGCTGGGCCTGCCCAGCCCTGCCGCGCCGCGCGCCCTTCGGCCCGCGTAAACATAAACAGTCATCAATTTCGTGTGGCGGCATTTTCAAATTTGCTTATGACTAAGAGGGGCGCGCTCTGCCCGGCTTTGCAACCCTACGAAGGAGCTACAGGACTGTCGTGTCGTGCTCCAGGTTCCAAGATGAAGTGGGCGCCGCCGTCGCCGCCGGCCGACGCCGACCACGGCCGCCTGCTGCGGCCGCACTGGCTCCGGCCGCGCGCACACTCGGACTCGGGGCTCAACCTGGGTAAGCTGCATCCTCCCTGTCCACAGGGGACACTCGCTGAGCTTACAAGTCCTTAAACGCACACGTTTTTGTCGCGTGCAGTTTGATTCATGACGCGCCTCCTTTGCAGCGGCCGCCATCGCGCCCCTGCCGCTGCGCGTGCTCAACGTGCCCCCCAGCAAGAGGCAGAGCATCGCCGTCCCCGGCTCGTCCGAGGGCCCCGACGGCTCGTCCGAATGGCGGGACTGGAAGGAGGAATCGTGCCGCCGCAACGTCGCCGAGCTGCTCGCCCGCCACGTCCTGGACATCACCGGCGCCACCGCGTAAGGCAGCAGTCGCACTCTCACGGGGCGTTCCGAGACAGGGCGACGAAAACAACAAACTTTTGGGATCAGTCTGATGGCCGCGCGCCGCGTCTGGCGCTACTCCGCGCTCTAGTTCGGAGTATCGCCGACCCCGGTTGGGAATCACCACAGAGGCCTCAAGTATTGCCAGTCCGGATAGCCTGGGTCCCTCAGCTATCATGATTGGCGTGGGTGGCTTTCTATTGAGACGGGTCTTCACCGCGCCCCGCCCCGCCCTGCCGCAACAGGCGGTCGGCAGTACCTTTGCCATGCCTTTGCTTCCGTAGGGTGGGTCGGCGTGGGCGCGTCGTGGTCGTCGTGGACGTGGGCGTCGTGAGTGGGGGCGTGGGCGCGGCGAGGCGTGGGCGTGCGGCGGAAGTGTCCGGCCTGCTGGGCCTGCTGGGCCTGCTCCTCCACTGGCTGGAGCCAGGCTGGGGCCGGAAGTCCGGGGGCGTCCGCACGCTCCTCCCCCGCCGTGCCACAGCGCGGCGACAGCATTCGTGCCGAGGCGCCGCCCGCTTCGAATCGCGCGCGCTTTCCGCCTTCAAGGCCAGTGCCGCCTCCCTCCCCCTCCCCCTCCCCGCCACGCGGAACTGCGGCTGCGGCAGGAGTATCGACGTATCGACCCGCAGGGCCCTAGGCTACCTCAGACGGGGACGGCGCTACCCCCGCCCGCGCACGCCCGCGCACCCCCAGCCAGCCAATGGGCGTCGCGCTGCGTCGCGCTGCGCCCGGCGACGCCGCGGGGGGAGGCCCGGCTCCTACCCTAGCACCCTTTAGGTGTGGCGTCAGTGCTGCCCTCTGGATCCGTCCGCTCGCTTTTCCGACGTGAAAATAGTTTCCATGTCGGGTTCGGGCGGCTCTGACGCTCTGCAAAATTCACCCCAGTCAGCCTCGGCCGTGCTTTACACGGGCCCGTCCACCCGAGCAGTTTCGGCCGGGATGGAGGCCGCGCGGGGTGGAACCGCGCCGCGAGAGCAGCGAGAAGGCGGTGCTGTGTCCTGGGATCAGATGTCCCCCGCCAGGGCCCCCGCCCACTGAGCCAGCCCGCCAGCCCGCCAGCCCGCCAGCCAGCCCGTCGCCAGTGCTGCTGCAGCTTGTTGTGGTCCCTCGCGCCTCGGCTGCGGCCTGGTCGTGCCCTGGAGGCTGCCCGGAGGCTGCCTGGAGGCTGCCTTGGAGGCTGCCTTGGACCTAGGGCTACGCCAATGTGCTCTGCCTGACGTTGTGCTCGAGGTGCACCCCTAGGCCGTCCCTCGTCGCGGGCGGCCAGCTCGTTCTCTCCGACGCTCCGCGGGGAGTCGAACCCCGAGATCGCGCTCCGCGAGCAGCTGCGGCTGGAGGTCTCGGCGGACATCTCGGCGGCCGCGCTGCCTCCTGGGGCGTCCCCGCACCGCGCGCTCGCCGTGCTCCTCGCCGTGATCCTAGAGGACGACGCTTGAAGACGTGCAGGCGTTTGAGCGCCGCGCTGGAGCAGGCCGAGGCGTGATATGGGTCTCGGCAGGCGCCCGGGCGCGACCCCCCGCCCCGTGCTGGCGGTGCTGGCTGTGCCGATGAAGGGCCGCCCGCAGCACGCGGGCGCCGTCACTTCTCCCCTGCAGGCGTAACCACGGCGTCGCCATCACGAGCCTAAGCCTCACGACACGGCGGTAAGCACGGCCATCCTCGGCCATCCTCGCATCGATTTTTATCTCGCTTCATCTCGGCGCGCGCCGCGGCCACGGCGACGGCCAGCTTCCCCTCGGCGACGGCCAGGCTGCATCGCGCTGCATGGCTGCATGGCTACACCGAGGCAGCCAGCCTGCGGGGTAGGCCGAGCGCCCCGCCGGCGAGTGGAGCGGGACTGCCTACCGCGCGGGCTGCGGGCGCTGGCTGCTGCCTGCGCTGGCTGGACACGGCGGGGACCAGGGAGGGGCGCATGGAGGACGGCTGGCAGCCAGCTGCAGCTGCAGAGCGGCGCGCCGTCTCCGCCTATCGCCCTCACCTTTCGCGGCCTCGTCCAACTTCCACGTAACACCGCGCCGCGGGTTTTTTGCCCCCCCCCCTCCACCGAGCGGCCACTGCTGTAACAAAGGTCGGCCCCTCCCCCTTCCCTCCGGGTCATGAAATATGTGCAGGGCTCCAGCGCGCCGCGCCTTGATTAGCCCATTCAAGCTGCAGGTGGCGGTTCATGTTCTGGAACGACCCTGCGAAGCGAAGGGAGGGGAAGGACGAACCCCAGTCCCGGGGCCTCGGGAGTCGCGCACTCAGGCAGGTGATTACCGTCTGTGCTTTTGGCGTATTTCGGCCAAGTGCGTACGTGGCAAATGCATTCAAGCGTACACGAACGGCTGTTTGAGCCCGTGTCGATGGCTTGCCGAGGAATGCCGAAGGAACGTCCTACATGAATTTTGAATGGTTTATCCTTCCATTCCATCGTAAATAAATGCGAACGCAAACGAGCGGAGCATGACCACCGTGACCAGGGTCCCGTCGGCGTGCTGACGCGCTGACGGCGTGCTCGGCGGTCGCGGAGGTGGTGGCGGCGCGGAGACACTTTGCTTGTGGGGTTTCATTGACGCCCCCTCCCCTGCCCCGCCGCACCCCTCGCTTTCGGA